CCTTTTTTTTTTTTTTTTTTTTTGTGGAAGGCCATCCTGTTTTTCCCTTTTCTAACTTTGCTTAGTATTGACTTGTCATGTTGTTTTTTTTCCATGATGAAAATTATGTATTCTAAATATAGAAACAACTTGTTGTAAGAAATACAAACAAACAGAAAGAAAACAACTTGTTATAAGAAATACAAAAAGAAAACAACTTTTTATGGTTATTGCTCTGTGTGCTAAAGAATGGACTTTGCTTCTGTGCCAACGTTTCTTTTATTTTTGGCTAAGATCTGGCCCCCTTTTGGTAATAGGGAGCACCAAAGCGGAGCCTGATACCTGGGGCCACAGAATACTTAATTGTTCCTGGGAATTTCTTCAATTTCTGGTTTAGTGTTAAGAACAGAGTTGAGGGTTTTAGGCTTTCTGGGCCAAAAGAGATAGTTAAGCTGTATGCATAAAAATAACCCTCCCTGTGGTGGCTTTAATTTCAAAGTTAAAAACAAATCTTAACCTTACAAAGCCCTGACACTTTGTGCTTAGGGTCTTACATGTGATTATAAAGTGAAATGGGGTGGCATCCTTGGGGTGTGGGGCGTGGGGGGGGTATATTAGTAACGTTCTGAAAGGTCACTAAGAAGCTGCCAGCTCTGACTTTACCACTCATCCCTGGGGATTCTTTGGTGATGTGAAAATGTAGCGATTGATGTTTGAACTGGTGGATGGTTTGCCTTGTTGCCTTGAGAGAATGCTTTAGAATGAGGTCAGCAGACTTTTTCTGTAAAGTACCAGATAGAACTATTTTAGGCTTTGCAGGCCATATATCATCTTTGTTATATGTTATTCTTATTTTTAAAACAATCTTTTAAAAATATAAAAATGATTCTTAGTTCTGGGGCTGTACAAAAACAGGTTTGGCCCATGGGCTGCCAACACTGCTTTAGAATAAATCATAGACAGCATTTTCAAGGCAAAGAAAAATAATGAGAAACAAGGGAAGATTTATGGATGTCTTGATGGTAAGGATACCTTAGCAGCTGTTGCTGAATTTTTCTAGATGGGGTTATGACTTTCTAAAGCAAATGCCTTGGTGTTCATTTTTCTCATATACTAGGTAGTTTGGGTTGACAGTGAACTGGGCTGGGCACAGGGATAGACACACCATTAACTAAGCCTGAGTCACTCACCTTTCAGGTGTCTTGGATAGCTAATCCAGCTCCCACGTGATTCACCTTTTATTCCTAGAGGGGCATCAGACCTCTTCTGGTGCAACCTCGAGCAGTGGTAGATAATAGCTATCATTGAAGCAGTCTGCCCAGGGTGTTGGCTCTAGTTGCAAGTCTGTTTTTTCTGACTTCCTCATTAGTAAAGAGTGATTGGACCCAGATGGGTGTGGGTGGCCAGGTCATTCTCTGCTGTCCTTAGCGGTTGTAGTTGACTTAAAGAGAAGGTTTTGGGTCTGGTTCTTGGGTTTGTTCCAGTGTGACATTCATTGGTCTTGGAAACCTGTTTGACTAGAAAGAACATTTGTTCCTTCCTGTTCCGGGCCTAGGAGAATAATACAAGGTCAAACTTAAACACTGAGCCAGTGATTAGTGGAAAAAACACTGAACCTGAAGACCTTGGTTCTAGTTGTGCCTCTGCTACTTGCTATGTAGCCTCAAGCAAGTCATTTGATCTTTCTGGGCATGGCTTTGTTATTTGTAAAACAAAGGGAAGAGAATCCTGATATACTGCCTGTAAAAGAACAAGATGTAACTTGGTTATGGTAATTTTTTTGTAATTGCTTATATTAAAATAATAAAAGTAAAACATGCTCAATACAGAGCGTATATCCATTGATAAAGAACCACTGCTAACATTTTGGTTCATATCCTTTTTTCTTTCTTTTTTTAAATAAAAGATGACTGGTAAGGGGATCTTAACCCTTGACTTGGTGTTGTCAGCACCATGCTCTCCCAAGTGAGCTAACTGGCCATCCCTATATAGAGATCTGAACCCGAACCAGTGGCCTTGGTGTTATCAGCACCACACTCTACCAAGTGAATCCTTTGAGCTCTTTTTCCTATGCATGTAAACACCCTACATTTCCCCTCCTAAGATGGAATCTTAACATACTGTTTAGTAGTCTACTTTTAAAACTCAGATATATAACCTGTTCATTTTGTTTCAGATGTCCTGGTGATTTTTCACTAAATGCTTTGTTTATCTGAATCACTCTTGAGTGGTTGATGTTGATAACCCGTGCAGCAGTCCTTCTGCTCAGGCTAACCTTGAATGTTGTTTGTGAAACAAACAACAGGTTTATTTGGCGAATTCCACACAATAGTTTCTCTTTCCTGTAGGAGCCACAGAGTGAGATGAGCTCACAGATAATGGGTCTCTTCCTTCCTGGTGGTTATGAATAAGTAATAGTGTGACAGATTCACCCTCTAGTGGTTGTTGGTAGTACTGAAACAGGAAGAATTACCTCCTGATTTGACTTTTCTCCTACCTTCAATTGCTTTGTCTCTGTTCCTAGTGGTTGGGCATCCCGAATGTGATGTTGGGTAATAGACTCCATTTCGACAGAGATGGAGGTATTATCTTTAACAATTGGAGGATGGAAATCATATCTCAAACATACCTGTTGAGTAGCGATATGACTTTGGGATGAACTGTGAAAATTAGCATTCTATCTGATAACCTCATCAGTACCCAAAGCCAGATCCTCATATGATGTAGCAAGAAATCCTTTATTATTTTTCTTTATCAGCCACTGTTTTATAATTTCCAAATTAGGGTAAGGAGAAGCTTAAGTATGAAGTGTGTTTAAGGGTCTTATTCTACCAGCTGTTTCCTGTGTGTAAATGCCTCATTTCCTGTTTGGCTTTGTGTACTGACTTCAGTGGTATTAAGTCAGTTGCTTTGGTTAACTCTGCTCTCTGAGGGTTTATTTTAATCTCTATGCAGAGAAGTTAATAGATGTCAGGTATCATTCAAAAAAATGCTAAATAATCAGGATTTGCTTCTTTTTTTGTGATTAACCTCTCCGAATGCCTGTTACTTTCGGAGCCAGCAAACTTCACAGAAAAAAAAGGTAGCTTTAATCTAATTGCAGGTACCTTTAAAATTATTGCCTCAGTTTTTCATATCACATTAAGGAAAATTGGTCAGTATATCATTCATGCACAGGAGAGATAAGATCAGCTTACTGGAGCTGGGATTAGTCTTGCCTTGAAGATGAGGGGTAATGGGAGCGTCCTGGAAGCTAGACTTGACAGCTTGACGTATTCCTGTTTTTTCTTGGTTCTTCCAAAACTTTGCAGGAGTTATGAAGACATGATTGGTGAGGAGGTGCCCTCGGATCAGTACTATTGGGCTCCTTTGGCCCAGCACGAGCGGGGAAGTTTAGCAAGCTTGGATAGCCTGCGCAAGGGAGGCCCCCCACCTCCTAATTGGAGACAGCCAGAGCTTCCAGAGGTGATCGCCATGTTAGGATTCCGCTTGGATGCGGTTAAGTCCAATGCAGCTGCATACCTGCAACACTTATGCTACCGCAATGACAAGGTGAAAACCGATGTTCGGAAGCTCAAGGGTATCCCAGTACTGGTGGGATTGTTAGACCACCCTAAAAAGGAAGTGCACCTTGGAGCCTGTGGAGCTCTCAAGAATATCTCTTTTGGGCGTGACCAGGATAACAAGATTGCCATAAAAAACTGTGATGGTGTTCCTGCCCTTGTGCGATTGCTCCGAAAGGCTCGTGATATGGACCTTACTGAAGTCATTACTGGTGAGTTCTAGGACTAAGGAATATTGCTAGGTTAGGGTTACTGTTATCTCCTACAGATGTTGAGAGCTAGAGGGGTTTCTAGTCCTTTTGCTTTTGATTAAAAGTACAAGGTAACTGGTGGCTTTCTGGTCAAATCCATCTCACAGTTTCGTTTGGATCACACAGGGCTTTTTAAATTTTAAAGAACTGGTTGCTAATGTTTAAGATTCAGAAAATTTCACTTAAAATTCCAGATTCTGGGCTTCTGTTTAAAACATGGAATAGCTGGTAAAAGTAGATCTCTTTATTTCCCTGGTGGTATTTAGTCTGAGCTGATTGGGGCATGTGCTCTCCTGTTTGCAATAACCAACACATTCTGTTATTTCTTACAAATTGCTACCATATAGGAAGTTGTCTTCCAAACATGAAAGCTGAGTGTCAATTGCCATTCATCCACATTCTCTTAATTTCTTTTAAATATCTACCTGTCTTTACTCATCTGCCTGGCCCATATAGAGATTTGAGCTTGTGATCCTTGCTTTATTTAGAACAGCGGTCTTTCAGATTGTGGGTTGTGGGCTGGCCCGGTGGCGCACTGGAGAGTGCGCCGCTTAGGAGTGTGGCGGTGCTCCCGCCGAGGGTTCGGATCCCATGTGGAGACCGGTTCCCGCTCACTGGCTGAGCGCGGTGTGGGCGCAACACCAAGGGTTGCGATCCCGTTGCCGTCCCCAGTACGGGTGCGACACCAAGGGTTGTGATCCCGTTACCGGTCAGTAAAAAAGACAAAAAGGAAAAAAAAAAAAGATTGTGGGTTGTGATCCATTAATGTGAATTGAACAGAATTTTGTGGATCACAATCAACATTCCAAGAGAAAGAAAAAAAGTAGTCCATTTGTTCTCAATTGGCGATTTTGCTCCCCTCAGAGGACATTTGCAACGTTGGAGATATTTTTGGTTGTCATAACTTGGGACGAAGGGAGAGAGTGCTACTGGTATCTCATGAGTAAAGGCCAGGGGTACTGGTAAACATCCAGCAATGGACTGGACAACACCCCACATAATAAAGAATTTTCTGGCTTAAAATGTCATTGGTGCTGAGGTTGAGAAACTCTGTTAATAGATAAATTGGAGAGCACTGCTTTATAGTGTAAGTATTGTTTTATGAAGCTTTATTTCATGATTCGTTGTTTGTATTGAACATATTTCTTACTGTGGGGTCACAAACAAAAAATATCACTACGAGGTATTTGATCATTAAAGAAGACTGAGAAATAATGGAATAGGGGATTCTTTTTGACATTCTTCAGACATACTGTGGTGGGTGCTGGAGAGCTATCTGATGAGTTGTCTCTGCCAGGAACCCTGTGGAATCTCTCATCCCATGACTCAATCAAAATGGAGATTGTGGACCATGCACTGCATGCCTTGACAGATGAAGTTATCATTCCGCATTCTGGTTGGGAGAGGGAACCTAATGAAGATTGTAAGCCACGCCATATTGAGTGGGAGTCGGTGCTCACCAACACAGCTGGCTGCCTTAGGTAACAGTAGCAGCTTTGAGAAGATGAAGATGGAATTTTTGAGGACTGACTTAAATTTCTTAAAAAAAAAAAAAAAGAAAGAAAGTTAAAATTCTTTAGCCTGTTGTGCAGCCTCCACTCTTGTCTGTATTGCATACTGTAACTCTAGCCTGTCTTTCTACTTTTGTCACTTTTTCCTGTGTGTACCACATATACCTTCTATGTCGGTTTGCTTGCTGTTCTCCACATATTCTCCTCGCTTTTATGCCCCTTTGACTTTGTTTATCTAATTTGGTAAGCATTTGGTTAGTACCTACCACACGTTTGGCACTTGTCCAGTCCTGGGCTTGTGTGTGATTGTGTCCCTGCCCTTAATTATCTGTATTTCAGGGTAGGCTGTGATAAACACAACAAAGGAGTACAGAGTACTAAGAGGGTAGGGCGTGGGTGAGGAAGGTCTGTTCTTCCTTCTGTCTGCTTTTCTCTCCTTATTTATCTTTTTGAGGTTAAACTCAAGTGCCTTTATTTCATGAAAGTTTTCCTGATTTGTTGTTATATCCTATAAGTGCTGTAATACAATCTTTTCCTCTTTGGAATATATTCCTGTGTGCTCTGCACCATTCTACATTTGTACTTCATACAAGAAGTATCCTGTTTTGAATTATTGTTGTTGGTATATATTATTAACCCCCATCCTACCAGATTATAAAAGTTCAGAAGGCAGGCACTGTAAATCAGCTTCCTCTCAACTGCAGTGCCTACCTTATAGTAGGTATTCACTGTTTGTTATAATGAATAGAAAAGGTATTGAGGGAGCCTGTACGTGATGAAGGATGTTTAAGGGAGGGTTTCTGGATCTGAGTCATCTTGAAGCTTTTCCTGATTTCCCCTCAGAAATGTAAGCTCAGAGAGGAGTGAAGCTCGCCGGAAACTTCGGGAATGTGATGGTTTAGTTGATGCCCTCATTTTCATTGTTCAGGCTGAGATTGGGCAGAAGGATTCAGACAGCAAGGTAAGTTAATGGCTGAGTGAATTCCATTTACTACAACTATGAGGTACTGGTAGTGCAGACCTATCATCTCAGGCTTTCAAATAACATTAAATTCCTATGCCAGACCCAGCTTCCTAAAGTGGATGTTCAACTCAGAAGAAAACAGTTTTCTTTAGAATTTCCTTCACTTGGGCTGGCTGATTAGTTTAGTAGGTTAGAAGGCAGCCTCATAACACCAAGGTCATGGGTTCAGATCCCTGTACCAGCCAGCTGCCAAAAAGAAAAGAATTTCCTTCACCTATATATTCTATTTTATTTTATTTTTTAGTGGCTGTCTGGTAGGGGATCCAAACCCCTGATCTTGGTGTTATCAGCACCATGCTCTAACCACCTGAGTTGACCTGCCAGTCTTTCACCTATTTATTTTAAAGTTGCTTAGCTGTCTTCCAAGATTGTACATTTTCTTTTTTTTTTTTTTTTTTTTTTTCTAAAAGATGACCGGTAAGGGGATCTCAACCCTTGGCTTGGTGTTGTCAGCACCATGCTCAGCCAGTGAGCAAACCGGCCATCCCTATATAGGATCCGAACCCATGGCCTTGGTGTTATCAGCACCGCACTCTACCGAGTGAGCCACGGGCCGGCCCCAAGATTGTACATTTTCTAAGTAGGAAAAACAGTGACCCAAATTTTGGGTGATACACCAAATAGTGGCAGAAGCCAGTAAGTTTATAGTTGGACCTTTGATTAGTTTATGGCTATAACGGTTTTGAGAAGCCTGGGGGATTTAAGAGGCATCCTGACAGATGAATTGGGCTATGATTTTGAGGACTGATATTTTAATACCTGAATCATGGAAACCTATACTTGCTGGGAAATCACTATAGGCATTCTCTTCTCTCACTGAGCCTTTTATCTTTTGTCCCTAAGCTTGTGGAAAACTGTGTTTGCCTCCTTCGGAATTTATCATATCAAGTTCACCGGGAGATCCCACAGGCAGAGCGTTACCAAGAGGCACCTCCCAGTGTTGCCAACAATACTGGGCCTCATGCTGCCAGTTGCTTTGGAGCAAAGAAGGGCAAAGGTGAGTCTTGGTTCCTGTTCCTTGCTCTTTAATGTGGGACAGGGAAAGTAAAGAACACTTTTAGCATTAGGTACAAAGTATTTGCCAAACAGTATGGGAGTCTGCCTGGTTGAGGGTGTCTTTTTGCTCTGCTGCTTTCCCTGTGTTGTGTGCTTCATTCAAGATGGTGGTAGTGGTGGTGGTATCAGTTTCAATGACTAGGGAAGTGGAGGACGAGAACCCATCTAATCTGGGGCCTTCTTCCCCATTTGTCCTTTGTGTTTCCTGTGTTTTTCTTTTTTCTGTCTGTGCTTTCCTGCTTATTCGCCCATGATCCTGTTGACATCTTTCTCCTGCATTTTTCTTCCTTCAATTCTCTCCTCTGCTTTCCACCTTGGGTGATGCACTGGAAGATGAGTGGTTCTCCAGAGGTGAGTGGAATCTTTTAAGGCGCTTATCTACCTCTAATTTGCATGTTTTTGTTTTAGCTTCCCTAGTATTTCCCTGCCTAACACTTCCCTGTGGATGCATGTAGGAAAATTCAGTTGGGGAGAAGAGCAGCTTTTTGCTTGTCTGATCTAAATGGCTCATGGCATGCTGTTTCTGGGCAGTGGTTCCTGTTATCAGAACCCAAGACAGTAGCAACAACAGTGGTTATCCTTGTTTTACCTGTTTTCTGCCCTTGTTTCTGAATAGCCCCTGACCACTTTGTCCCTCTTTATGCATCTCCGATCCAAAGATTCTGATTGTATAACGAAAAATGTACCAGGTAGAATCTTTCCTTTCTTAAGATTTTTACCCCTCTTCTCGCCACCCCCCATCCTTTTTTTCATTTCTACAGGGAAAAAACTCACAGAGGATCCAGCAAATGATACAGTAGATTTTCCTAAAAGAACTAGTCCTGCTCGAGGTAAGTTATCTTTTTCTTCTAAGTCTCCAAAAGTCTCATAAACGCAGTCAACAGGTAGGGTATTTGGTAGCCTAAGAGCAGACTTTATGCAATATGTATTTACTGTTCTCTGTTCTCTGACTTATGGATTTGAAGTGATGATAAAAGTATTGAGAAACTCTGTGGTATTATAGCAGTAACTTACAGAGGACTGCTTGTTAAGGTGTTTATTCAGTTTACTTGAGGATATGATAAGGTCCTGATGGTAGACAGTCCAGAGCAGAAACTTAGGTTCCCTAAGTGGACACTACAGTTCTTGGGACTTAAACCTTACTATTATAAGAAGCCTCTTTATCACAGCTTAGATTTTTATATTTATCAATACAGTGAGTCCATAAGTTCACAGCTCTCCAAGGATATAAAAATTTTAAATGTTAAATCTATGATGGGCTAAATATGTTTACTTAGTCATAGTAAAGGTAGAGAGAACGGCTGGGTTAAGTTAGAAATAATTCATTTAGGGTCAGCCTGTAGCTCACTCGGGAGAGTGTGGTCCGGGTTTGGATCCCATATAGGGATGGCCAGTTAGCTCACTGGTTGAGCATGATGCTGACAACACCAAGTCAAAGGTTAAGATCCCCTTACCGGTCATCTTTAAAAAAAAAAAAAAAAAATTCATTTAAAATGAGAAGTCTTTATTTACTTGGATTTTTGGTGGCTGGCTGGTACAAGATAGGGAATCTTTAACCTTGAGTGCTATCAATGAGCTAAATTAATTCCGTGAGTGCTCCTAATAGAACCAAGTCCAAAGTAAGCTGTGGAAGAGAAGAGGCAAGGAGGAAGGAGAAAGAGGAGTTGGATATGATGAGTTGATATCTGTTCTGCTCTTAACATTAATTAATTCTTAAAAAGGCATGGAATCAGGCCTCTGAGTTTGCTGTTAAGTGGGTGGGAAAGTTTAGGGAGCCTAATGGTATAGAAGCATACATCCATCAATCCAGAGTACTAAGGCTATACTCCCAACAGCCAGAACCTGGTTTGTAGGTGTTGATTAACATCCTGTGCCTTCTGCCTTTTCTTGGGCAGGCTATGAGCTCTTATTTCAACCAGAGGTGGTTCGGATATACATCTCGCTCCTCAAGGAGAGCAAGACTCCTGCCATCCTAGAAGCCTCAGCTGGAGCTATCCAGAACTTGTGTGCTGGGCGCTGGACAGTGAGTACCTTTTAGAAAATGGACTTGGAAATGGGAGAACTTTGATAATTAGTTTGCTGCCATTTGTAATCTGTTCCACCTCTTTCCATGTGCTACTTCTAGTACGGTCGATACATTCGTTCTGCTCTGCGTCAAGAGAAGGCTCTTTCTGCCATAGCTGACCTCCTGACCAGTGAACATGAGCGGGTAGTGAAAGCTGCATCTGGAGCACTGAGAAATCTGGCTGTGGATGCTCGCAACAAAGAATTAATTGGTAAGGAATTGAATGCTAATAATTTATTTATTGAAATGATTGAAGGGAAGGACCTAGCCCTCTATAGTTTATGAATCTGAAGATTGGCAGGGGTTATAGTTTAATGGTTCTTGGAAAGATAGGTGACGATTCTTCAAAAATAGAATAATAGTGGGCCGGCCCGGTGGCACACTGCTACAGTGTGCTGCTTGGGAGCGCAGCGGCGCTCCCGCTGAGGGTTCGGATCCCATGTACAGACCTGCCGCTCACTGGCTGAGTGAGGTGCGGGCGCAGCACCGAGGGTTGCGATCCCGTTGCCGGTCCCGGTCCGGTACGGGTGCGACACTGAGGGTTGCGATCCGTTGCCGGTCACGAAAAAAAGACAAAAAGGAAAAAAAAAATAGAATAATAGCTATTATTTAAGGAGCACTTTGTTGTTAGGTACTGTTAAGCACTTCTCTGTGTTTCTATTTAATCCCCAACATTTTACAAAGGTCCATCATTTAATAGGATAAGACAACTGAGGGTCATGGAAGTTAAGTAATTTGCCCAGAGTTAATATAGCTCATTAGGGGTAGACACCAGGCTATTTATTTATTTTTAAAATTCATAATGACCATGTTTGGTGGCTGATTAGAATGCAACCTCGTAACATAATGACTCTTTCTACTGAATTATAATATTTCATACACTGTTTTCAATAGAGTATCTGAAAGGACTGTGTAGCATATTTGATATACAGTATTCACATTGTTTCAGTGTGATTGAGGAAGGAGAGAAGAAATAAAGGCATAAGAAGGACAATAAATCCCTGGTTATTCCAGGTCCTTTGTCCTTTTGTAATGAAGTTGCTTCATATGAACAGTGCCTATATTTGATATGATCAATGCAATTAAGTACAATGTAAGGCTCCTCATGGCCTCTTCTCCCTGCATATGTTCCTTCTGTCTTGCTGCTACAGGTAAACATGCTATTCCTAACTTGGTAAAGAATCTGCCAGGAGGGCAGCAGAACTCCTCTTGGAATTTCTCTGAGGACACTGTGGTCTCTATTTTGAACACCATCAATGAGGTTATTGCTGAGAATTTGGAGGCTGCCAAAAAGCTTCGAGAGACGCAGGGTATTGAGAAGCTGGTGTTGATCAACAAATCAGGGTGAGCTTACCACTTAAAATTATAGCTGGAAGAATTTGAATATGAGGGGGGTGTTATTAGGAAGGAGCTTTCTTCTTTTGCTTTCTAAGGTTATTTCCCCTTATTTTTACATGTGAAGTGTGAAGAGGTATTGCTCTATTTTCCAACTTAATATTGATCCATAAACTGATAACAGATTCTTACATCAATTTTTTTTTTGTGTCACTGTTCAGGACAAAATTTAGGATTGGGTGAAAACTTGGCTTCACCCATTTTTACATTTATATTCTTTAGGTTATTATTAGAGGGAATGGGTTCTAAGCTTCTTTCCTGGTCTTGCATTCAAATTCCATGTGGTGTTACTTTTCTCAAAAGGAACCGCTCAGAAAAAGAAGTTCGAGCAGCAGCACTTGTGTTACAGACAATCTGGGGATATAAGGAACTGCGGAAACCACTGGAGAAAGAAGGATGGAAAAAATCAGATTTTCAGGTAAAATAAGTCTTGAGACCCAGACTTTTACCATTCATTTTTTTTTGGTCCTTGAGTAATTCTTCTTTATTCTCTGGGTTTTTTTTATTTCACTATCAAACTAAGGTATTGTTTTTTTTTTCTGCCGTCTGACCAGTACAAGAATTGAACCCTAGACCTTGGTGTTGTCAGCATCATGCTCTAACCAACTGAGATAACTGGCCAGTCCAAGAAAAATTTTTTTTTTTTTTTTCGCAGCTGGCCATTATGGCCATCTGAACCCGTAACCTTGCTGTTTCAGCACCGTTCTCTAGCCAATTGAGCTAACCACCCAGCCCCTAAGTCTATTTTTAACCCAAGTCTCTTAGTTAATAAAGAAATTACTTGCTTTACTTCTCCTTAAAAGAGTGGTACCTTCAGTCAGTTCATTTGCTATGGAAACAGCTCTGGTCTCCCTCTATGTCATAACATACTGTAAATGCTGGTGGTGATGAAGGATGATGATGACCTTTTTGACTTGTCCTCAAATGTACCATAGCTCTTTGAAGGAGTTTACCATTCTCTGAGATCATGTTTCCTTCTGATAATATGAGCATTTGGAACCTCTAAAATCTCCTGTTCAGGAACACAAATAGAAGCCATAGTATCGTGGTTTATTTATTTACTGCAGGGTATTTATTCACCCTTATGTGTCACCTTTTTATAAGAATTATATTTGGGAACAGGAACTAGATGTTTGTGCTCATTAGGGAATAGTATCTGGGTGAATTCAGTATTCTATAACATCACTGCATTTTATGTTTGCCTCCAGGTGAATCTAAACAATGCTTCTCGAAGCCAGAGCAGTCATTCATATGATGATAGCACTCTCCCTCTTATTGACCGGAACCAAAAATCAGGTACAGTATCCAGGGAGCACACCACTCTCCTTTTAGCCACTTCTACTATTCTTTAAGGGGCTTGCTAGCTAAGAAATAGGATATATATTTATTTTGGAATGAGCTAGTCTTTTAGGGGAGGGGAATAATACTTCACCTCCAGGATTGTAACCTAGAAGTGGGTAATACAGACAACCAGAAAAATAACACAAAAAATCACTTACTTCTATTATCCAGAGATAACCACTACTATTTTGGGTTATAGCTTTTTAAATACTTTTGCCATATGAGCAAACACATTTTCCCCAGGAGATGAGTCATATATTTTGTTTTGTAAATTTTTTCTTTTTCATTTAAAGTGTATATTTTGACCCTTATTATCTTAATGACACTTGGCTTTTGCCTCCATCAGTGGTTCTTGAGGTGTGGTCTGAGAGTCCCGAGAGTATTAACATTTGTACTGATGGCACAGAAGCACAACCCAGGGCAGTGACACCAAACTGAGCGAGTCATTGTAGTCTTCATTGCCATGTACTTAACAGTTTTTTAAAAAGGAGCCATTTTTACTTAAGAATGTACTTGGTGGAGCTGTAAAAATTAATAATTTTATTATGTTTCTACCCTTGAGTATACATCTTTTTAATATGCTGATGAAATAGGGAATACTCATGAAACACTTCTGTTTTATACCAAAGCATGATGGTTATCTTGAGGAAAAGCTGTTGTGTTACTTGAGTTGCTAGTTGGACTATCCACATTTATTTTTTTAATGGAACACCATTTTTTTTTTTTAAAAGATGACCGGTAAGGGGATCTTAACTCTTGGCTTGGTGTTGTCAGCACCAGCGAATCGGCCATCCCTATATAGGATCCGAACCCATGGTCTTGGTGTTATGAGCACCGCACTCTCCTGAGTGAGCCACGGGCCGGCCCTTGGAACACCATTTTTACTTGGAAAAATAACTGACAGACATACTGTGATTATTCAGATGTGGGTATTTGGCAGATTTTCTCAAAAATGAATTCAGTGATCTTATCACTTTGAGGAAAATAACTGACAGTATTTGCTGCCTGAACTTTCAAGTGAAATAATTTTGAAAAACTTGTGTCTGCCATCTTGAGCCTGGTAATTTCCCAATTGGGAAAGGGGGAGGGGGAGAGGGATTAGGGAGAAGTTGGGTGAGGGACACAAAGAATAATTACAATTTGTAATAATGAACATGCTAATATTGATTTGATCATCACATATTGCACACAAATACTGATAGTCAACTCTCTACCCCATAAATATGGATAATAAATTATATTTCAATTAAAAAAAGACTTCTAATGGCATCAGTGGTTATATTAACAAATGTGATTTTTTTTACATTGTGTAATGAAATGTGTTAATGTTTGGAACATCTGCATAACTGTGAACCAGTATTTTGCAAGTAACTATTGCCTGAAGTTTAAGTCTCAGAATCATGCATTTGATCCATTCAAAGTGCAAGACTCAGTTGGTTAGAGTGTGGCCCTGTAACACCAAAGAGCACGGTGTTATAACACTAAGTTCAACGGTTTGGATCCCTGTACCAGCCAGCTACAAAATTTTTTAAAAAAAGTTTCCTTAAAGTGCAAGATGGACCAATGGATTTTAATTTTTCAGACTATGAAGGTATTGTTAGTTTGGTTTCAGATTCTGTATTACTGCTAACCTGTAAGAAACTGCTACTTGTTGTGTTTTAGTGTACTGTCAAAGAAGTATGCCCATGTTTATCTTAAAAGACTTAAAATTCTCCTCCCTTTTCCAACTTCTTATCTGTGTGAGGCTGGGTTTTCTTTATGTACTTCAACCAACATAACATAACATATCACAACAGATTGAATGCAGAAGTTGATATGAGTATTCAGCTATCTTCTATTAAGCAAACTAAAGAAATGTGCAAAAAATATAAAGTAATACTTCTTTATTAAAAATATTTATGATAACATGTAAAAGCGACATAGATATTTTAAATTTCTCAGTATGGTAAATATTAATACATATAACCCGTACCAATGAAAGCTCTTTAGATCCTCATAATCTTTAAGATTGTAAAGGGGCCTTGAGACCAAGTAATTTGAAAACTGCTGGCTTAGACTGAGTTGTTTCTTGTATTGTCTATAGGAAGTGATTGCAGTAAATTCCACGAGGGCTTTGTTCCAGCCACAGAGCTGTGATTAGTGCCTGGAACATAGTGGGTGCTAAGTAAGAATTTGAATGAAGGGAGGGAAGGAGGACAGATCAGAGAGCAATTTTTATTATGTGTATGATTTTGAAGAGTTGGTTTTTGACCTGGATAACTTTCTGACTTCATATAGATAAGAAACCTGATCGGGAAGAAATTCAGATGAGCAATATGGGATCAAACACAAAATCACTAGGTAGGTCATTAATTCCTACCTAAGAATGTGGAGTACTATTTCACTGGGATGAGGAGAGCCGTCTGGTTTTGTAGTTTTTTCTAACACCCTCACCATTTACTGTCCTGCAATAACATTGGCCGGTCATTTCCATTTGCAAACATGTGAGGAAATTTAGTATAACTTGATCTATCCACTTTTTCCACATTTCCACATGCTGAAAGGTTTTCAGAAAATCTTCACATGCCTCCCCTTCATATGCCTACAGAATCAAGTTTGTATCCCTAAACTTACTCTCAGCCCACCTGGTCTACTTGCTATCCTGTCTTTTCACTGCGTATTTTTTTTGATTTTGCTCATATAACACCTCCTACTGGAATGTCCTTTCCATTTGGTTTTCTAAATTGTCTTCATTCCCAAAGGCTTAACTCAGGTCCTTTGGGAATGAACCTTCCTATTACAGCTATTTCACTTTCTCTTAATTCCAGTACCTTTTACAGACAGATCTCATCAGTTTAACTTTATTATCATATTTCATACTCTGATATTACATATACATATTGTCTTTCCTATTAGATTTAAGTTTTTTATTTTTTAAAATTGAAAAATTTTAAGTCAGGGACTGTCAGACTTTAATGCCTTTCTAGAGCATTTGGCAAAGCTTAGTTCCCAACAGAGATGCCTAATTCACACTTATCTGCTTGATATATATTCTACACTGGAGAAAAATGTTATGTTCTGTGTACTTTCTTCACTAGATAACAACTATTCCACACTGAATGAGAGAGGGGACCACAGTAGAACACTGGATCGATCTGGGGATCTAGGCGATATGGAGCCATTGAAGGGAACACCCTTGATGGTAAATGCTCTTTATATACTGTTGTCCATCTAAGATCAGTTCTGTTTTGAAGCCTGCATATTTCGTGAAGTAGAAAAAAAAGTACAGAGAGAAGGATAGCATCCTTTTCTGGTAGGGGTTTTCAGGAAAAGGTAGGGGGTTTGACTCATTTTGGGATTTCTTGGGCCATTATTCTGCAGTGATTGAGATGGGAGAAGGAAGTCTGTAAACGTGTTACTGATGTGACTAATACTAACTGATCTGTTTGCATACTTGACCTGCTTCCTGTCCCTGCCTGTTTTTGAACATTTTGCCCTTCTCTTACTATTATCTTTTTTCGTTTGAGTTTACAAATTTTGGGATTTTCCCTAGGTTTAGCACACACTCAGGTTCCTATATCTTGACTCTCATACTAACAAATTGCATGTGTTCACAGCAGGACGAGGGGCAGGAATCTCTGGAGGAAGAGTTGGATGTGTTGGTTTTGGATGATGAGGGGGACCAAGTGTCTTACCCTCCCATGGTATGTCCTCCAGTCACCCCCAAGATTGTCCTTGAGGAAGGAGGCCCATGTGTGCCAGCATTTTGCCAATCATGCTGATCTGATCAGGCCAGAGACACTGGTCTCAGCCATGTGGGGCTTGCGGGGGATTCTGCTTCTGTGATTAGTACCCTTTAAGAGGCCGGGATGTGCAGCTGGTGATCTGATTCTCCATTACGTGCTGCTTTCCTTCCTTCAGATTTGCTCAGCTGTCTTTTTTTGAGTCTCCTATTCCCAATGCTGTTAACATCCTCTCTTTTTCTTTTTTCCCCACAGCAGAAGATTTAACACCGCTATCTCCGCTCCGTGTGGGCTTATAATATATGTACTTTTATTTTTTGGTGGTGAAATGGACTGATGATTTTTCTCTTTCTTCGCTGGACTATTGTGCCAACTGCCAGGCTGCCTCCTGCCCGTATAGCCCTAAGTGGCTGCCTTCTTTCCATCCGTTCCCAACTTCTTCCAGTGAAGTTTAATTAGCCTACCCCTCCCTTCCAACCCATTCCCTCCGATTTCTCTCAAGAAGCCTGACTCAGTTATTTGCATATCTTGAGAAACTGCTGCAGATCAGCTCTTTTTGCCAGCTCTGCCTGGAACTCTTGTCCTTGAGTGGAGGAAGGGAGAGAGTGGGACTCTTCACTGGAAGCTGTGGGAAGAATTGGAAGTTACATGCTGTATATGCAGTGTCCAGCAATCTGATAAACTGATGATTCTTGATCAAGATTTTTTTCCTGATGGGGAAGGGACTTTTTATTTTTTTTGGAGAAGGGAAAGTGTGAGCTTTTCCCTTATTCCTAATGGCTATTTTTGAAGCAAGGAAGGTGGCAACATTGGCACATTCCACCTGGCAAGGGCCCTTGAGTAAGTGAAGGTCTCCTAGAACTGTGATTAAGAAGCCTTGCCCTCCTCATCTCCGAGGCAGGGACCATCAAGGACCTACAGAATCCATCTCTTCTACAAGCCTCATGCCAACCTTGGGCTGCTGCCACTGCCCTTTATTGAGGCTGTCCTTAACCCTCCTCTCCCACCCTGTGATATGTCTGCTGACTTGGCTTGGCCATTTGTGAGAGGCTGTAGAAAGAGGAGAATGTCAAGGAAGACCTTTTGGTTGAGAAGGTGCAGAAAGACGTCTTTTGGGAAGAAGAGGAACCTCTAGGAAGAACTAGTAGGAATGTACATGAAGTGGTTAGTCTAAAACTGGCAGGAAGCTTCAAAGCTGGCTTCCCCCCTGCCCTGTTTTTCCTTTTTTTTACCCTTATAAGTCTGTCCTCACCTACCTTTGCCCTGGATTGGGTGGCCAATGAAAGGACTTGATGTACATAACTCCTATCCCCTTTACCCTTGTAAGGTGGGGATTACCCCTGGCGTTGCCTCTTCTTTGTGCCTTTGGCCTGGGGTGCATCTCCTTCTTCCCTTCCATGTGCCTTTCTTTGCCCCTGCAGTCTCATTTCTCATGATTTTGCAAATTATATTTTGTTGCTTTCTTACCCACTATTGGCCCTAAATAGCAGAAAGGAGGAGAGGTGACCTAGAGAACCTCAGATTCTCCACTGGGGATTGGTGTAGCTCCTGCTTTTAACCACAGCAAGCCTTTGCTCAACAGCATGAGGTTGGTGGGAGGAGTGAGTGGTGTGACTCTTACTCCTTAGTTGCCCAGAATTTACCATTATCTCTGAAGGGGTTATAGGGATGTCCTCTCTCCCTAATTCTCTCCCTCCTCGACAGAACTGTCTCTCCTCATTTTAGTGTATGTTAGCAGGTTGGGCTAGAGGAATCAGCTGCTATGTGGGTTAATTATTATTATTATTTTTAACCCTTTTCCTTATTTACCTTCTACTCCCCTTAATCTAAAAGCTCTGTTCAATGCAACTGGAATTCTTTATCCCTCTCTTCCCCTTCCCTTATATATTGAGGCTATGGGGTAGGAGAAAAGTGCACAACCCACCACCCCCATTCCCCATGCATTAAAATTCCTTATTTGCCTTTTTCCCCTCTCCCATTTCTTCCCACTCCCATTTCTTCCCACTCGCATTCACCTTTTCTGGCAAAAAGGAGCCTTTTGCTCTCTATGACCCTAAGAGCACACTGCACAGGGGAAATTGTCCCCATCCAGACCTGGCTCCACTCTTGGTTCTCTTGTCCTCCTCTGCTCTTTTCCTGGTGCTCTTTTTTCTTGGTGGGGTGTGGGTAATAGAACAGCCATGGGCTTTTGGGGACCTTTAACTTTTTTTTTTTTCTCTTTCATTTATAAAAACACTAAACATTCAATTCCAGAGAACCAAAAATCCCACCTTCCCACCGAACACTACTAAGGGGCATGTCTTCTGCTCCATATCTTTTCTCTTTTACTTTCTCTCTTGTTAATGCTTTTAAAAACAAATGAGTTTTTTATATAAATAAAGTTTTTAAAGTGTGTATGTGGGGGGTCTGTGTCATTTCTTCAGTTCAAGCTATATTTCTTCCCTCCTTTTCATCTTGGTTACTTCTTTATGTATCAATGTCCTTTCTTTTCAGAGCAACCAGAAAGAGGTTATACTGGGATGGATTCATTTTGAGCTCAGCCTCAACTCTTCTCAAGCAACATTCTTTTTAATTATAGGCGAAACATTTTTTCCTTTGAAGATTCTTAAAAATTAAATATAATTAAATTGGCTGAGGTAGAGCTTTGGGAGCTTATTGCTAACTTACTTAGAGATAGGAAACTGAAGTGTAAAGAATTAATGACTTCCTTAGTCACTGGGATTCTTTTGCAACTTTTGACAAAACTAACATTGAATAAAGCCCACTGCAATACATGGCCCTCTTGAACATAGCACCTATGAGTAGAAGATCAGAAGCTATGATCCCCAATTGCCATCCTAATAGATATGAAAATATAGAATTAAAAGGCCCATGTAGATGCGTACTGATCACTGGGCCATAATGTTCCTCAGGCTGTACGCAATCATTTAATTATAAGATAATAGGCAGGCCTATTTATTTGACAGGCGTATTATTTGGTAGGACACAAAGGATGTCCTACCACGTAATATGTGAGTGGGTAGCAAGTACTTGCTGGATTACCAGGGATTGACTTTACTACAGAGGCCAAGGATTAAGACCTATGGAAAATACTTATTTTTCTGGGGCCCTTATGTCCTGTCATGTAATTAAAAGACTTAAGAGAATTTATATAAAATGCATTCTGTATGCCCAAATCTTTAGATTAAAATTACATAGCTGCTCCTGATGATGGTCCTGTCTTGTTTTGCTGAACTAGGACTTGGGTTTGAAAATTTTCTTGGGCTAGTGAGATCAGGAAATCTAAGCATTGTAGTTGTTAATCTTTTAAGGCTCGGCTTGTGTCTGACAAATGTAGTATTAGTCCAGAAGGATGACACACAAAGCCAAAAAGCTATTAGAGTTTGCTTGTCTAAGAGGTTTGGAAGTCCCCCTTGAGATGGTTCTATCAACAGAAAAACCTGGCTACTGGTCAGTAGACTTTTATTTCTCTGTTACAGTCTTTATTATTCACTGGCATTAAGCTAGATACAAACTCTGCTCTTGTTCCTAGATTGGTCCATTTGTTTTCTCTTTTTCAATAAATATATGCCAAGGGTTGTAGAGGTTAGGTTTAAACTAGAGAATGAAACAAGGATCCTTTCTCAAAGTTTGCAATCCATGAGAATGCTATGTAGCTAGGGTTCATGATATTCTAAAAACATTTCTTGTCTCTGTGTCCTTATCTAAAATGAGCCTAAATTTTAAATAGAGTGATCTGTGAAGGCTCTATATCTCCTAATAAATGATTTAGTAATGCTTTTGAAGTCTCTTGATATCACTTGCTCACGTTAACTTTAGGAATCCTTTGGATTTTGTCAAGATTTTCCCACATACTCCCAGATCCTTTAGAGCCAGAGTTTTTCTGGAAGTGGCTAAAGATTATGGTCAATCACTTACTGCCTCAACAACGCTAGTGAACATGTTTGTAAGAAAGTTGGTTTAATGAGTCTTGCTGTGACAAACTTTCTATCACAGCTCAAATCTATGACCTCATTTGGCCACTTGTTCTTTCTTGCTGAACTACAAACTGGAAACATCTCACCCAGGAAGAACTAAAGACTAGTCTTTCTTTATCATTCTCTCTCATTTTGTCTTTTTTTTTTTTTTTTTTTTATCTGAAGTAAAGACAGTTATTGGTATTTTCACAGAGTTATAGACCAAGTAGACCTAGCCTTATAGATCTGAACAAGTACATAAGAGTTACCTGGGACACTAGTTGAAAATGTGGATTCCCGTGCTCCATTTTCAAAAGTTGATTCAATAGGTGGGACTCAGGAAACTGAAATCTTAGTAATTCAACTGGGTTGTGATGTATGTGGTCACTATGTACATGCAACTAGAGACACTAGTGACTCGCTCAAAGTGGAATCCAGGATAACTGGCTCTAACTCCACTGGCAGTAATACTAATTTCATGGTAGGTGTAGTTAATGTGGTGCTGTCACCACTGTTTTACAAGAATACAGAGGATACAATGTTGTTCTCAAAGGAATGAATTGTTCACAGTTGAACTTGAGGTAATAGTAAGTGACAGGCCGGTGTGTGGCATCTGGGTAGGAGAAACTTCTTATCATTCAAATCTTGTAGGTAATGCCCAGACTGCTGAGGGTGGAAGTTAGCCCTTCATATGGGGCCCTCTGGGCATAGAAACTCCCCTGGAATGGCTGACTTTGAAGTGTCTCTTCTGGCTACAAACAGTACCTCAACCGGGGAGCAAGTGGCCCCATTGGCCAAAGCCAAGGAGGCCACGTTTGGAAACTGAGTCACTCCAGAGAGAGAACCTGCCTCAAGAAAGCACAAAAAAGTAAGAAACATGATATTGTTAGGAGCAAATTTTTCTCATACAACTTTCGACTTTCCTATTGTCTAACTGTGTCACTTAATGCATTAGTTCTTCAGTTGATCCTCCCAGAACTTAGGGGCAGACATGGATGGAGAGAAAGCTGGAGGAAGTGAGGTAGGAAAAGCATCAATGAAAACAATCATTCTGATCTGTCTGCATCATTGTAACCTGACTTATGTTTTTCTCTTTTTATGTATTATGAAATGACCAGGACCAGCTACCTATGAATGGAGTAAGTCAAGAGCCTTGCACTTGCTGCTGTAATTGTAGGAGCTATAGTCACTATTGTAAGCATGTGGTAACTGGCTTTTTAAAAAAAATTTAACTGAGAAAAAAAATGCTACATTTCTCTCCATATACATCCCTGTCTTCATTGTTGAAAAGGACAGGTTCTTCCACTTTTACTGGAGACACAAAGGGTTTACTACCTTGCTGTTCTTCCCCAGTATCTAGTGCTAATAGACAGATAGTCTGAATGCCATAAGGCATTTGTGCCTGAAGAAAAGAAAAAGAAATATAGGATATCTGTGGTGATGTTCCAGTCATTTCTTATCCATTTCTTGTCTTCACATCAATCCTTTTTTTTTTTTTTTCCCCCTTCACCTTTAAGTCACACTTAACCTTGGTGTTTTTACAACTCAATCTGTTGTCAGAATCAGGGCAGAGAGAGTACAGAGTGTTTATTTGGAACGAATTCAGTTTCTGGTTTTGGCAGTATGGTAGATTAGATACTCTGAAAAGTCCTTTCAGTAGAAGCAACTAAGATACTGGGTAAATATATTTATAAAATATACTTTAAAACACATTGCTGAGCAGACACAAAAGTAATGAATCCACACATCTTCAAAATGAAGCAAAAGCTAGAATCCTAGGAAGTAAGTGCTAAAGCCAGCTTTTACTTAGCTTTTGCCAGACTCAGTAGACCTTAACCTTCTACTTCAGTGAGTATGGGAATAAGGAAATGAATCTAGCAGGTTCCCACGTAAAACTGGATACCCTCAGTGTAAAGGTGAACAAGAAATAAACACTCCATGGAGGGAGGGGGGCAGCAAGGAACTTATTTCTCTCAACCTTGGTGCTAAAGAGAAGGAAAAGTATGTAGAGTATCTTCCCCGAGAATTCATAACAAGATGACCTGTGTGTTTTTAGTCCAAATTTAGGCTAACTATGTTATCCAAAAACATCTTAAGTGAGGAATTTGGTGGTACTTGATAATAACTCCCACTGGTTTCCAGAAGCAAATGCAATTTCTCTAAGACCGCCAAACAATTCCCATAGATAAACTTCCAAGGCAAATGAGCAACTTTGCTCAAAAATTATAAAATGCACAAAGGCGGCACCATGAGTGAACATGGGGACAAACAGAAGCTAATCCTTAAGTACTTCAGATGTTGGCACTGTCACATAGAATATACTGAAATAAATTGAATGAACTAAAACAAGTTTGTAAATGAGAGATAACAACCCAGTAGATCTGGGGGGAAAAGACCCTTTGAATTAGAAATGAAAAATACAAATTTGAAATAATTTAATGTGTGGGTTAGATAGATTAGACAAACTGAAGGGTGATTAGTGAATTGGAAGATAGTTCTCAAGAAATTATCCAGAATACACTCCAGGTAAGGAGGAGAAGGAAGAATGGAAAATGGGCAAGAAGCTGAGATTTGGACAATGGAGTGAAAACATCTAATGTACATTATTAGAAGCTTTAGGAGGAAAACATAAGAAGAGGCACTATTTAAAGAGATAATGGCTGATAAAATTTTCAGATTTCGTGAAAGGCACCAAACCTCAGGTATAAGCCCAACAAATCCCAAGCAAGATCAAACAACTCACCTGGAAACATCAAGCTGAGATGCAGAAAACCAGAGAAAAGATTTTAGGCAGCTAAAGAGAAAATACAGACTACCTGTAGAAAACAGCCCCAATGAGTGAATTTTCAGCATCAACAATGAAAGCCAGGAAACAATGAAATAATAAGAACCATTATGGGAAGCTTACACTCTGAAATGTTTTAAAGAAAAGGCTAACAGGGCTGGCTGGTTAGCTCAGTTGGTTAGAGTGTGGTGCTGTTAACACCAGGGTCCAGGATTTGATCCCTGTACCAGCCAACTGCGACCCCTCCCTTCAAAAAAGAAAGGGCTAATAAAAACATTTTGCAGAGTTTCCAGTCACTAAAGGGTGTCCTTGGAGCAGAAGGAAAATGATCTCAGAAAATCAGACCAAGAAGGAACACTGAACAAAGGTTGGTAAATAAAGTTGGTAAAAGTAAGGCATTACATACGGTGTAAAAGCCATATGTAATTTGTGGGAAGGGAATATAGGCCAGAATTAAAATACTGGACAACAGTAGCATGTAAATTGAAGGGATTATTGAAATACTTTAATGTTCAGTTACTTTTATTCAAGAGGAAAGTAAAGATACTGATCATCTTAAGACTTTTGTGAAACTAAGTACAGCCATCCCTTTGTATCCATGGGGGATTGCTTCCAGGATCCCCTGTGGGTACCTGAATCTACAGATGCTCAAGTCCCTGAAATAAAGTAGTATTTGCATATAACCTATGCACGTCCTACATGTACTTTAATCATTTCTAGATTACTTATAATACCTAATACAATGTAAATGCTATGTAAACAGTTGTGTTTAGGGAATAATGACAGAAAAAAGTCTGTACATGTTCGATACAAATGCAATTTTTTCTCCTGAATATTTTCAATTTGTGGTTGGCCGAATCCGTGGATGTGGAACCCACGATATAGAGGGTCAACTGTGTACATATTAGCTAGAATAACCACTAAAGAGTAGACACAGAGCATGTAACTTCCAAACAGAGAAATTCAAAGGAAGATGGGAGGAGTTAATAACTGGTGCTACATCTGACAGAACGAGCTGAGCTCCTAGGGCAGTGGTCATAGCAGATGGAGTAGCGCCTACCTCTGTATCAGCACTGGGATAGGGCATCTGGCAAGAAGTAGATGTGTGCACAAAAAAGCAGAGTGAAGAACTAGAGTAGGGACAAAGGGAATGTGTCCAAGGCAATTTTGATTAAAGCAAAGTTAATAATTTAAATAAGATTTTGCTGGCTGATATGTAAGTTGTTCAGCCTGCAGAAGGTCAGGAGAGAATACACATATCTTGCTGACTAAATTGCTGACTTAGTCTTGTCTGAGTTAGCCTCACCATATCCTATAATAGGGCTTGACCCAGAATAGGGCTGGACTAAAGCTGGAGACTGCCTTTTGACATGAGGGAGATGTAATTTTTTTAAAGGTTATACTGGTTTTAGAGTAGGAGAGGTCAAGGAGGAGTATAGGGCTGTTCAAGCTCATCGCTAGGTCATC